AATGAAAATGAAAACGAAAACGTTTTTATTTTTATCTTGGAATCATTTATGAAAATGCGTTTGATAGTTTTATTCTGAAATTGTTTTCAATTTAAAAAAACTGAAATTGTGTTTGGTAGTTTAATTTTTAAAAACATGTAATAATATTTAAATTAATAATATATTAAATAAATAATCATATTAAATATATGTATTTTCGGGGGAGGGGGGCAGTCGGAGAAGAGTGGCGCCCGGGGGGGCGCAGTCGCACAGTCGCAGACGAGTGGCAGGGCGAAAAAAAAGAGAAAATGAAAACGGTGTTTTTAGTTTTAAGTTTAGAAAATTTTAGGCCAAACACGTTTTCTGTATGCATTTTCAGTTTTTTTTTCTCGAAAACTGTGAAAAATGGAAATAAGACGGGAAACAAACATGCCCTTTGTTTTTTTTCAATTCTTCCTTCTTCTTTCCTTGTTAATGAAATACAAACTTTCAAGTTCTCAATAATGACATTCTCATATCATAATTGGCTCCACCAAAAGAATAATAGTACAATCACTACTCCAACAAACTACCAAGTTGAGTCCAAAGTCATATTTCTCTTGGCATGTTTATCTTATCACAAACAAACAATATATAATCTCCAACCCCACAAAATTCTAATGTGAAATAGGATTTGACATTATTGGAAGCCATTATCATGTGTTTGCCCCATCATGTGAAAGTAATCTCAACCACATTCTTTCCTTTCGTGGAGAAAAAAAAGGGGCTAACAGTGTTTTGACACAAAATTCTGCCAAGTTCAACAAAAAATATCCATACTTTTTAGGCCATGCTCAGTTGAGCATTTTGCATGTGGAAGCGAAGAGCAAATCACTAGATGTGGGCATGCAAAACCATAGAGTGGGCACACCAAGCCAGAAAGTGGATGACACTGTTTTGTGTTCAGCCCATAATTCTGACATTAATTGAAGAGAGAGAGAGAGAGCAGAGTTAGATGTTTCCAACTCCCAACAACACAATTTAGAGAGAGAGAGGCACATCTGTATAATTTAAGAGAGAGAGAGAGAGAGTGGCACCTCTGTATAATTTAGACTTATCTTTTTTCTTATTTCTTTTTTTATTTTTTGCAACAAACTTAAGTGAAGAAAAAACAAAGGTATAGAAAATGATACTAAATTAATTAATAAGCTTTTAAGGTTAAGTCCATAAATTTGTAAGATTAATTTTTTTTTTTGGATCCTGAACTTAGGGTGATCACGGTTTACTCTCTAACATAAAATAGTACTTTTATTTCAAAAAAAAAGAGAAAAAGTGAAGGACTTTAAAGAGTACAAAAAATTGACATCTAACCCAAATTTTTATTGGTTCTACACTACGACAATTTGTAAACGGTTTTAATTAGCAAGTAGTTGGGCAATGCTTGACTTGGAGTTTCTTTAGTTGTTTTTGATGATTTTGTTTTCTTCTGAATAAGTTTTCTTAGTAGTTGAGTAATGTTTTAAAAGCCGAAAGGTCCAAAACTATCTAGCTGGAGAGAAAATGAAAGATGGAAAGAAGGAAAAAAGAAGCAGATGCCACACCTAGACCTTCTTTGAGAGGGAGTTTCTTTCGCAGTATATTTTATCGATAGTCTCAATTTTTAACCGTTAAATTATATTAAAATTATATTAAATTAAAAAAATATATAAAAAGATAGATTTTAATACAAATTTAACGGTTAAAATCGATAATCTATTTTTAGAAAGAGTACTAAAAAAAGTCTTGAAGTGGACTATATGTAGGCTCTGAAATGTTTAGCTTTTCGAGGCAACACATTTAGTGATTTTGTTATAATATATAATAGTCAAGTAGGAAAATCATTTGTCAAATTTCATATTACTTTGGTTTACATATAAGGTCAAAACCTATTCACTTTTGACTTTTTATTAAGTTTATTCTGTGGTTTGGTAAAAGAAAAAAGATGAGTGTCAATTCATAAGTTTATTTTATGGTTTGGTTAGAAAAAAGAGAAAAGAAGAGTGTCAAATGTCAATTCATAAGCTTATTTAATAAAAAGATGTCACAAGTTAATTAAATGGTTTGGTTAAAAAAAAGGAGAAAAGATGAGTGTTAATTCATTATTATATGGTTTGGTTAAAAAAAGAAAGAAATTGTCTTGTTGGCTGATGAGTGAGTGTTCTACTCACAGATCAAATGCATTTAAATTTAATTATTTGTTTAATTTTCAAGCATTGTTTTTATTTTGATGTGTTTTTGTGCATTCTGTAGGAAAATGGTGAAAATTGGACTTAGTGGTACTTCGAATTAAAATTTAGAGCAAACCAAGCAAAAAGGGGCACAAAGGCACTTTCCTGACAGCAAGAGACACGCGCCTGCGCAACATAATATCACGGGCGCACAGCGCCTCCAGCAGAATGGACTGTGCGGGCGTGCCGTGCCATATGGGCACGCATCAGCGCCTCCTCTCCTAGCTGATTGAGGTTTGGGTCATTTTTGGCCCTTGATCTGATTTGGAGGGCCGAGATTGCTCATTTGGAAGTGATGTGAGAGACTAGTAAGCCACAAAAACCCTAATTTTGAGAGGCACACTTATTAAGAAAGATTGGAGGCACAAACTTCAAGAACAAGAGAGAGCTTGGAGGCTGAAAATTAGAGGATTTTTCTTGGAGATATTTTGGAAGATTCTTGAAGATTGAAGCCTTGAAGACCACTCTACTATAGTTTCTTCTTAATCTCCACTCTTTTTATTTTGATTTTAATTTGAAAATTGTAATTGTGATATTGTGACAACATGGTTGCTTTTATGATTTTCATGATGATTATGCTTATGGATTTGACCACGTGTGGCTAGATTTCTAATCTAGAGCCTTGATGTAGGTTGCTTGAACTATGTAGCCAATATTTAGTTGGTTGTTAATGAAATATTGACTCAATCATTTGTGTTTCTCTTGAACTTAATGCCTCTAGTTGATTGGCAAATAGACTAGTTTCTTTGATATTTGGGTTGATGCTCGGGAAAGATTAGTTCGAATATCGGTATAGGGAAGCACAATCAAATGTTATTGTGAGACTGGGAGGTGATCAACACGTAGGTAATCGTTATGAGAATCTTGATAATTGTAAGACCGGGAGGTGATCAAATACTTAGATAATCATTGAAAGGTTGAGCTTAATGAATGTGTTTATATTGAAGTTAGATAGGGATATTAGCTTGTTTATTTGCACATGTTGTCTTACTTGACGCTCAGGAGAGGTAGTGAGACTAATTTAGAAATCTTAGATTAATGAATTAAGTTAAATTAATTAGCAACAATTAAATAGGAAGACATATGGAGAGCGAAGCGAAGTCAAGACCCTAGAACACTATTATTATTATTTTTATTTCCACTCATAGCTTCGATATTTAGTTACTTATTTTGTTAGATCTTGTGTTCTAGCTTTAATAGTTAAATTAATTTGCTTTTCTTGCTTCAATTACTTAATTTCCTCGATTTCGGTCGCCTACATAAAATTTAGTCACGAAAACACTCATGATACTTAGTTTAATTCTCGAAAATTAAATCTTTATGGGACGATATTTGACTTTTTAGTCACTTTATTACTTTTGTGACGTGTGCACTTACGAAAATTTTGCAACATTGGCATATCCAAGAGTCTAAAAGTATTTTCTATATTTTAAAGGAGAGAAAAATCAGATCTATGATTTGCAAGAAAACAAATTGACTCAGAAAGTCTTTGCTAATTATGACTCTTTGAAGCCATACGCAATGTAAGTTATAGTATTAAATTACAATGACCAATTAAAAAGAACAAAATTTCATTAAAAAAATGAAAAGAACAAAAAAGAAAATAAGCATAAATACGAAACAAAGATCACGTATGGGTTCTCATGTTCTATAGAATACATATTTCAAGAAAATAGAACAGATTGGATAAGGTAACACGGTTAAAGAAAATTGAGCAAGAAAGTATGGATGAAATTAAATATACTTATTTTATTTTGTTTTATTTTTTAAATTTGAGATTTTCGATTCAAAGAGTTATTTCAGGATAGTAAATTAAAGTATTTTTCCATCTTTATCCACGAAAAATCAAACTTATTTCAACCGATTCCTTTGTATGGGAGCACATGAATTATTGCTTATGAATATTATAATAAAAATAGGAAATATAATATCTAGCCATTTTAGCTGTCAATTTCATCCTTTGAAAAGAAAAAGTCATATAACTTCCCATATTTCGTGGGCGAAAAAAGATCACGTTTAAAGATAGGTGGCATTTTTTTTTTTAAAGAAAATGGGTGACACTTGACAGCTTACAATTTAATTAATTAAATGAGTGATGGCCCACAACATCAATGTTTTATCCTTTTCTGGAATTTATAAATCGTAATAGCTATTTAATGCCATGATAATTCAAGCGCATAATTCAATTAAAAATAATTTATTTATTTATTTCAATTTGTTTTTGCTTTTTTTTCCTTTCTTGAAATGATAGAGATAATTACAACATCAACAATAAATTGTTTTTCTTTTTCTATTTTCGTTTTCTTTTCTTGAAAGAGAATTAGCTAATCAAGGTAAATTTTTTGTTTGATTTTTGAAACAAAAATCGTATTAATGGGAAGAATCTGCATTGAAGTAATGCAAGATTCATGGGACATAATCAAATCAAATTTCAAACCAAATTAACTTGAATAAAAAAATAGTCCTCAAAAAATAGATTTTTTCATGCCATACACCTAAATTTAGTTACACCCTATTGACCAGGTATCCGAACTTTAGGCATAATAGGCGTTTTTTCTTTTTAAAGAAAAAAAAAAGGCAGTTGTTTTGATAACTGTATAGCAAACAAATATATAGAAAAATATATGACACATTGACGATATAATACACACACACACACACACACACACACACACACACACACACACACACATATATATATATATATATATATATCTTTTTTGAGAGTAAATATCACCGAAAAGATGGAAGGCAACGACGAAGGTGGTGGAGATCGTCACCCTCAGTCTAAGCTTGTGATGGATGAGAAGCTTCAATCCAATATCAAGATCACTGGTTAGTCATATATGTGTGTATTATATATATATATATATATAATTTGTGGAATTTTTCATGGTGGGAATTTTACTCTGCCTCGTCTTTTAGATATTCTTGCATTTTTTTTTTGACATGCATGGATCTGAAAGGAGATAATAATCACATAATATAAGTTTTGTTTTCAGGACAAAAAAAAAAAAAAAAACTATGGTTGAATGATTGTTAATGGTGACGGTTTCCTTCTTCATATTCTTGTTTTCTTTTTTTCTTTTTTTTTCCTATTTTTTTGGTTATGTGTAGTTTTGAACTGGAGATAGATAGCAAAATTTCTAAGGATCAAGAAAAACCAGGTTTAAAGGAATATTGTTGATGGTGATGGATTTTTTTTTTCTTTATATTCTTTCGTTGCATGTCTGAGATGACTAGCTTTGTGACAGAATTTTTAAGCATTAAACTACTAATTCACGTCGTTTATGCCGTTTTTCAGCATTTTAATCCTTTATATAATCATATATAGATAATCTTTAATAAAAATCTAAAAGAAAAATAATGTTTATACGATTAGTTATTGTTATGGATTTTTTTTTCTTTATATTCATGGCATTGTCTTTTCCGTGAAACACAGATTTGTTTCATACAGAGAAATCATAAAGCGTTTTGTGCTTTCTAATCTGCATTTAGTACACGAGTTGTTTATCTTGTTGGTAAATAGAGAATTTTGAAGGGTTTTAAGCATAATTAATCATTTTATTTTGTTATTTATATGATGCCATTTTTTTATAAATCTTTTCTGTTAAGCAAAGTTTTGTCACATTCTGAGAATCAGTAGTCTGTTACATTGGAAATTTTGAAGGGTCATTTTTGATCATTTTTTAACAAGGGGTTTTTTTTTTTTTTTGGGTGCAGACAATGAAGAAATAAATAACAACCCAATTGAGGAAGTGAGGCTGACAGTGTCAATAACTGATGATCCCTCACAACCAGCATTGACATTTAGGACATGGGTCTTAGGCCTCTTCTCATGTGTCCTCCTTGCCTTTGTCAACATGTTCTTCGGTTACCGCCAGAACCAGCTTTGGGTGTCCTCGGTCTCAGCTCAGATTGTTGTCCTCCCTATAGGGAAGCTCATGGCCGCCACGCTCCCGACCAAGCCCGTCAAAGTCCCCCTCACCGGCTGGTCCTTTTCAATGAACCCGGGGCCTTTCAATCTCAAAGAGCATGTGTTGATCACCATCTTTGCCAATTCAGGTGCGGGCGGTGTTTACGCGGTGAACATTATCACAATTGTCAAGGCTTTCTACCACAGGAGCCTCCACCCTGTTGCAGCCTTTCTCTTGGCACAAACCACTCAGGTTTAGATCTTTTCTTTTCTTTTAGCTAATATTGAATTTAATGATATGACAAAGAACAAATTCTTATTTTCAAATTTTGGGACATCTCTTGGATATAATCATTGAGTTGAAAGATGTGATAAGAAGTTTTGTCACTTGCCAATGTTTAGGAAATTTTCTAATTTGTGAATACTTGTTGAAGTTTTGCGCCTTGGGATGATATGATCATGACTTGAGAGCTATGATGAAAAATTTTTGATTTTATGAATAGTAATTATAGACATTTTGGACCTTAGATTATAATTGCTAGTTGATTTTTTTTGTTTTGTTTTGTTTTGTTTTTTTTCAGATGCTTGGCTATGGATGGGCTGGATTATTCAGAACGTACCTTGTTGACTCTCCTTACATGTGGTGGCCCGCAAATTTGGTCCAGGTCTCTCTATTCAGGTATTTTATAAATATATCTTTTAATATTAAAGAAATTTAACCACTTAAATTAGTAATCAATGAAGTCTTAATCAAAAGAAGCAAGACAACTAATTTCTATGTGCTAAGTAAAGTTTTCGCATTAGTCATATTTTGGTGAAAATTTTACATGGGCACCAAAAGAGAAAACAAAAGTCGTTTCTGTGTGCTAATTATAGGATTTTTGTTTTTGTTTTTGGCTATAATATATGTATATATATAGATACATTTTAAATACAACTACCATATAATACAATACAGTATTCCGCAGTAATGCGCGGAATACAGGCTCGTTTTTTCTTAAATGATTGTTGGATTTGTTGTTATTTTTTTTTTTTTTTTTTTTTTTTTTTTTTTTTTTTTTTTTTTTTTTTTTTTTTTTTTTTTTTGCGCATTAGACATTCTTTAGTGAACAAATTTACACCTGAATTGTAAATCACTGAATGAGAAGGAAAAGTACTTTCAATGTGTTAAATAAAGTTTTGTGCACAATTTAGTAATTCTTTTAGTGAACAAATTTGCATCTGTAATGTAATCAATGTATTTAATCAAAAGAGCAAGCAAAGTTGTTTCTATGTGCTAATTAGAGTTTTGGGCATTAGTCACATTTTTTTTTTTTTAAATTTTACATCTGTACTGCAGGGCATTGCATGAGAAGGAAAAGAGACCAAAGGGAGGACACACCAGGCTGCAATTCTTCGTCTTGGTGTTCATCTGCAGCTTCGCTTACTACATCGTTCCGGGCTATTTCTTCCCATCGATAAGTGTGATCTCGGTCGTTTGCTTGATATGGAAGGACTCCATCACCGCACAGCAGCTCGGTTCGGGTCTCAAAGGCCTTGGACTTGGCTCATTTGGTATTGACTGGTCTACCATTGCTGGTTTCCTTGGCAGCCCTCTGGCTACCCCTGGTTTCGCCATCATTAACATACTGGTCGGCTTCGTGTTTTTTCTTTATATCGTTACCCCCATATTTTATTGGACTAATGCTTATGAAGCCAGGAAGTTTCCACTCATCTCTTCTCACACCTTCGACTCGACGGGCAAATCCTACAACCTTTCTCGAGTCCTCGATGAAAAGACATTCACCCTTGATCAAGAGGGTTACAATAGTTACAGCAAACTCTATCTTAGTATCTTGTTCGCCTTGAATTATGGCTTGAGCTTTGCGACATTAACCGCTACCATATCTCATGTCGTGCTCTTCCACGGAAAGTAAGTGTTTTCAAGAACAACTTTTTATTTGTTTTTTAATTTTTTTAACTCTGAGTTTAATCTTATACGAGTTATTTTGAGCTAAAACTTTCTCATTGTAATGAGTAGATCAATATGGAAGTTGTGGAAGAAGACGACAAGCACGGTGAAAGGGGAGGCGGATATCCACACGAGGCTAATGAAGAAGAACTATGATGTGGTGCCTCAATGGTGGTTCCACACCATTTTGATTTTAACGGTGGGTCTCTCAATCGCTGCCTGTGAAGGTTTCGACAAGCAGCTCCAACTCCCATGGTGGGGAATCCTAATGGCTTGTGGGATTGCTCTTTTCTTCACCTTACCAATTGGCATTATCCAAGCCACAACAAACACGGTATGGTCATGTCACAAAAAAAAAAAAAAAACCAAAAACATATATGATTTGATTTTTGTTCTATTTGATGATTCCCCTATTGAAATCAAACTTTTTTTTTTTTTTTTTTTTTGTGCAGCAACCAGGATTGAATGTGATCACAGAGTTAATTATCGGTTATATTTACCCTGGAAAGCCTCTTGCTAATGTGGCTTTCAAGACCTATGGCTATATCAGCATGTCACAAGCTCTTGGATTCCTTGGTGACTTCAAATTGGGTCATTACATGAAAATCCCTCCCAAATCCATGTTTCTTGTGCAGGTAACAATTTCTTCATCCCATAATTTGTCCACAATTAATTGGTAGAATAGTTATTCACTCAATCACCCAATCTCTGTCCTTGTATTTTTTCAGTTAGTCGGGACCGTAGTTGCTTCGAGTGTCTATTTTGGAACGGCATGGTGGCTTCTCTCCACCGTGCCAAACATTTGCGACATGTCATTGCTGCCCGAGGGAAGTCCATGGACATGCCCCGGGGACGATGTCTTCTACAACGCTTCGATCATATGGGGAGTGGTGGGACCTGCAAGGATGTTCACCAAACAAGGCATCTACCCCGAGATGAATTGGTTCTTCATCATAGGCCTTCTCGCTCCCGTCCCAGTTTGGCTGCTGTCGCACAAATACCCGAACAAGAAGTGGATTAAATACATCAACATGCCGATCATCTTTGCAGCCACGGGAGGCATGCCGCCAGCAAGATCAGTGAACTACATTACATGGGGAGCTGTTGGGATTTACTTCAACTTCTATGTTTATAGAAAGTATAAGGGTTGGTGGGCAAAGCACAACTACATTCTATCAGCTGCTCTTGATGCTGGAGTTGCTTTCTTGGCTATTCTCCTTTACTTTGCTCTTCAGTCTAAGGATATTTGGGGCCCAAATTGGTGGGGCCTACAAAATGGTGACCATTGCCCATTGGCCAGTTGCCCTACAGCTCCTGGTGTGGTGGCCAAAGGATGTCCAGTTCTATGAGAAATTTAACTTTGCTTTATATTTTTTAACCTTTTCTGCTATTTTTAATACATTAATTAGGCTTTTGGAATTAATTAGACATTAAGCTTGTATATAGATCTTTAGTTTGATTTTATGTTTTCAATTTCCGGACTAGAACAACAAGAAATTCAATTATGTAGGAAGTTTTTATCTTTTTCTGAGAGACAATAGTTTTGAGTTATGATGCTTTCATATGTTGGAGCAAATTGTACATTCACCATTTCTCTATTTCATCAAGATTGACAATTTTTTTTTAATTACATTCATCAGTAATACGTGCAGATCCAATAACAATTTGGAATTAGCAAGGGACCGATAAATTTCTTCTTTAGTGCTAAAATTATTTCTTCTTTAGTGCAAAAATTGATTTTTTTTTAGGTGTGAGAATGATGTCTAGCATGAGAATATGGACTGTTTTCTTGTGAAGAATATCAGAGAAGCTATTGCTCATATCATGTTTAAGATGGACTTAAAAGGAGCCTTGGGGTGCAACCAAACCAAATAGAAGATGGATGAATTCAACTCAATTATCTTTATCATAAGATACTAAGTGAAAAGAGGTTACTAATTTTCATAAAAATAAAACTAGGGGAAATTTATATAAACAATAATACTAGAGGAAACTAAAGCAACAAGAAAATGAAAAACATTAACTTAAGAAACAACACAGACATAAAATGATAGAAATATAAAAATCTGAGAAGAAATTATGGAGAACAACAGAAATATAAAAACTACACAAATATCATAAAACGACAATATATAAATTTTTAATAACAACAATAATTATTCACAACCTCATCAATTTCTCTAATAAAGGTGATGAAAACCCATTATTTTCTTCCCAAAGCTTAACATGAGCTCCTAAATTCTCCTTCAGTTTCTCCAAGTCGTTTGATGCACACACGTTTCGAGAGGAATCCATGGAATACTTTCAGATGAGGTCATTCATATTACAAGCAAATAGCTGCAGAGCAAGATAACTAGGGTCCGTTTAATTCGTTGATTTGAGTTTTTAATTCGAGTTGAGACGTTATGTGAGAGCTTTTTACTGCAGTAAAAAAGTTAGATGTGACTGTTTCTGAGAGCTTTTTACTGTAGCAAAACTCAAATTTTAAACTCGAATCGGTAAAATGAACGGGACCTAAAATTGTCATCATGTTCCATTCCCTGATATTTTACAATATTCTGCCCATGAACAGAATTCATGAAATTCTGTATTTCTCGATTGGCTGATTTAATATTACTGTTGAGAACGCGTTTTATAGCGACTTGTCTACCTTCATAAGTCCCCTTATAGATAAAAGTCCCATCACTGCCTTGACCAACTTCCTTTGATAAGAAAAACATTAATTTTGTGCCTATGTGCTGTGAATCTTCTGAGCTAGAAGCAAAGATTTTTTTTTTCTTTATGCTCATTCAACAGAATTTACAACATATAAATACAGAAAACCGACAAATAAAAGAAGAAGAAGAAGAAAGGAAAAGAGGTATAAAGAAAAAAAAAGAGGCACTCATATGGTTAAAAAAGGAGCAATACGTAATGAGGGAAATTATTACCGGTAGGTTCAATGAAGATGAATTATCTTCTATGTCCAATATTTCTCCTTTTTTTGAGAGGGAACGTACATGGTGTTGGCCTAATATATTTTCTCAAATCACTACAATAAAAAAGGTCTTTAGCAACGAGTTTGACAAAATTTAGCATTTCTCGTATAAAAACGAGTTTTAATTTAGCGGCACTAATTGTTTGCTTTTAGTGATAATTTCTTTGCCAAGGTCAATTTTTAACTTTTAGCGACATTGAGATTTTTAGCGATGACAAATGTTACTGCAAAAGATCATTTTGCTTATAGTGAATAATTAAGCATACGGGCGAATGATTTAATTTGTATCAAAATAAAAGTCACATATCACTTTCATCAAGTGACTAAACGAAGGTAGAACACTAAATAAATCAATTCAATTGAAAACACCCAGTTTTCACTCTTAATCAGTTCTCAGCAAAGAGAGACAATGTTTAATCAATTATCGGTAAGGATAAAAAACCTAAAATCAATTTCTAATATCAATTGCTAATTACAGAGAAAAGAGTATACAAATATAAAAAGAATATGGACAAATATGAGATATTAATCAAAGACGAAGAAGTAAATAATAATAAACGATGAAAATTCACAGTTTTGGATCAAAATTGAAAACTAGGTTATTGACCTGGAAATTGGAATCTGGTGCTGTTTTGGGCTAGAAAACCAAGACAAAAACGTAGGTTCAAAAATTGACCACATTAAGTTGAAGGGAATTTCGTTCCGAACAACTTTTGTGAAATAGCATTTTTCTCAAAAATGACTTTAGGCACTAGTTTCGAGTTAATTTCCGAAACAGGTCCAAGATGGTGATTATTGGTTAAATAGGCACGGGCTTGGAGCATGATGTTGACGCTAATCTAAGGGTTTGGAGCATGTTTAAGTATCAATATTTTTTCTTATATATGACACGAATGAACTTATTTTCTATGTTGCAAAGAATTGTGTATATTGTAAGTTTCAGTAGTTTTTCTTGTGTGTTGCACATAATTGTGCATATTGTAGATTCAAGATATGCTAGAATGTGAATGGTGTTTCTTAAATGTTATATATGATGTTATGAATGTGCTTACAGACTTTAAGTAGTTTTAGAATTTTACTCTGCGAAAAGTCTAAGTCGAAGTCAAAGACAAGGTCAAAGTCAACAAAAAAGGTAAACTTTTACAAAAAGGTCAATTTCATAGGAAATTGATAGAAATGCATAAAAACTGCAAAACAAGGCTAAACTTACTGTCATACAAGAAAAGATGCCAACAAGATGATGTATGTACAAAGAAAAGATGATAAAAGAAAAGAAGAAACTAAAACTGTTTGTACCCTCCACAAAAAGAGGTACCAACCTCCACAGAGAGAGGTAACTATACGACCGTAAGTGAGTTAGTTTTGGTTAACTACCCTACTCCTCATTGATTATGCGTACTACGGTACAACATGATGAGGCCCATAAAAAGTAAAATACATGAAATTGTAATACGGCAACCGTTTCACATGAGAGTATGGAAGTCATAAAGAAGTAAATGACATGAAATTATAATACGGCAACCGTCCATATGAGAGTACGGAAGTAGTAAAAAAGTAAAAGACATGAAATTGTAATACGGCAACCGTTCCACATGAGAGTACGGAAGTCATAAAAAAGTAAAAGACATGAAATTGTAATACGACAACCATTCCACATGAGAGTACGGAAGTCGTAAAGAAGTATGGAATGAAAGAAGAAAAAGATAAAACGATGAACGTTTTAGATATATAGAATACATTAGAATATGGGTATGCATTATTGATTGCATTTATTATGGCATACTGTTACTTGCTGAGCGAAAGTTCAGTAAGTTTGTTCGTGTTGTAGGAAGCTTGAATAAGGTACCGGCTTCCTGAAACTTGTTGTTGGGCGTACATAGAGGATGTAGTGGTAGAGTGTGGGCAAGTGGGCGATGGACACACTACGAGACTAAAGACGCTGCGATATGTGTATAAAATAAATAGTAATTATGAATGTAAAATTATATAAGTTATGTAATGAATGTAAAGTTTATGAGACTACAAGGTTATGCTTAGTAATCTTAAGTTACAAGGTATGTTGAAGTACCCAAAAGGTTACTATGACAATGGCCTATGAATGATGAAGGTATGTGAATAATAGATTGAATGTATGACCATGTTTAGGAACTGATTTTGAAGTATTACTTCGACAAAGTATGTATGTTGTTTAAAGGAAAAGAAAAAAAAAGTGAGCCTAAATGTTAGGAGTTTATAATTCAAGAAGGATAGAAGTTAAAAAATGAGTTACGTATGAATGTAGTAATGATGACAAAAAAATAAACATCAGTTTCCATTAGAAGAGTGACAATTTCAAGCACTCAAAAAGTGAAAGTTTCTTTAGTGGAAAAAAAGAAAAAAAGAAAAAAAGGAAGCTAAGGCATGCCAGAAAAACATAACAGATGAAAGTCATTGTCATCTAAAAAAATTTATGTATTCCCAGTTCCTAGCTAAGGAAGAATAATCATATTTACCAAAAACAGATAGTATGATCAAGTAGAACAGTTGAATCACAAATGGGTATTCATTTACGGATCAAAACGGGCACCAAATTTTCTCATTGGATTCACATCAAGAACCAGCTGACCTCTGAGGAATAATGATATCTTGTTCCTTGTACTCATATTTGATAACTTGCTCTGATTTCCAGAGCCATTGGCTCAGAAATCAACCACCACAGGCATCACTGCTTCTAACTCTCATATTTTAAGCAAGATCAAGGCAAGTTCAATATGCTAAACTTCAGTACATGAAACATATTCAGCTCCGAATAATTACGGAGTTTAAGACAAGAGAAAGAAGGTCACTCAAGAAAAGGGCCTTCGAGAAATGCAAAAACCAACTTTTTTCCAATCATGAAAGTAGTTCGTAACTCATCATCCATATCCTCTATCTTATTTAATAATAATATATATACATATATATATACATATATATACATATATATATATATATATATATATATATGAAAGGACAATGCTCAATCTATTTTGTAATATTTAGAAAATAACAGTAAGTTTACATTTGATCAGATTCATTCATCAATCAAATCATTATATAAGTTAATTGAGGAAGATCATCGTCGTTTTCTTTCTTTGCTTCTGCCGGAGGAGTCCCGAAGTTGGTGCATTGCGAGTCCGGAGCGCTGGTCGGGCCGCCGTCAATTAACGAAGACGATGCCACCCTTTAATTCTCAGACGCTTCCTCGGATATGCATCACTTCCACATTATCATGTCTACTATTACCTTTAATTCTTTTACTTCAAAGTTCAAACCCCCTGCCCCCTCCTAGGTACACTCCTTTCCATGGTTCCTCCTCTTTCTCCTTTTCATTTTCTCTTTGTTTATGCAAATGGCCACCGCCCACACTCTCTCTCATAATATACATGCCCAAAAAAAAAAAAAAAAATATATATATATATATAATGTAAAGTCGGATGACCCCATCCTTTAAAATAGTCGGTATGTCAATTATTTACCAATAGTT